AGATCGAGACCATCCTGGTCAACATGGTGAAACCCCGTCTCTACTAAAAATACAAAAAATTAGCTGGGCATGGTGGTGCGTGCCTGTAATCCCAGCTACTCAGGAGGCTGAGGCAGGAGAATTGCCTGAACCCAGGAGGCGGAGGTTGCGGTGAGCCGAGATCGCGCCATTGCACTCCAGCCTGGGTTACATGAGTGAAACTCTGTCTCAAAAAAAAAAAAACAAAAAAAAACAAAAACAGTATAAGCATATAAGCTACATCATATGAAATTTTAATTTCAGAGTCAGGAAAATGACAGAGCCTAACTTGGCTTCCTGAAGCAGCATTCTTTCTTGAGTGTTACAATAAAGAAGTGAACTACACTCATACTCAAAAATAATTCAGAGAAGCCAGTTTAGGTGATATATATTTGTTATCCCATCTATTTGGGAGACCCCATCTCTAATAATAATAATAATAATGATAATTTGGAGGGAAAAGAAGAGAGACTAGTTTCAGTTGGAACTTCTATTTAAGAGTTTCAGGCTTTTATCTCTTAAGCAGTACATGAATACTGATCACTATTAATATCATCCTTGAAAAGAAAAATTTGCTAGACTCTACCTATTACCTATTTAGAAAAGACATGTTCAATAATCTGTTTGTTTCTTCTCAAATACAAACAAAATCAGCAAAGGAAAAAGCTGAAGACATTTTAGTCCGTGAAAGGATACCATGGAATACACAAACTGAAATCCTATAGAGGAGGGGCCATTTCCTACAAATAAAAACCAATTTCTCTGACATTGAAATCTCCCCACATCCATTTCTTATCTTCCTTAGCAAAACATAAAGACACACGGCTATGGGGAGAAAAGTGGGTTTTACAGTCAGGTGAACCTGGAGTCAAATCTCAACAATGGTGTTCACTAGTTCTGTGCCTTGGACAAGTTACTTAACTTTTTGAACTTCCATTCAATTATAAAATGGATATGTTATCTACTGTTATATAACAATGGGAGTTAAAAGATACCTTATACAGGTCTTATTTTCAAGGAGCAAAGCTCTATCTTAGAATACAATAAAATTATATTTTTTATATATACACATATATACATATTTATATACGTATATATGTATACATGTATGGGGGGTGTGTGTGTGTATGTATGTGTGTGTGTATATATATATATAATATCATGGGTGAACCTGACAAACCTCTCTGTTGACCAGCCCCCCAGGAACATAAAAAGGCACAAGGCAAGGTGGTCCTGACTACAGGCACTTAGCTTTTGTTGAAGAAAATAAGTCACATATACATGAAAGCCACAATTGATGGGAAAGTAGCCTATTTTAGACTTCATACAAGACTGGGAATCAGGCCTGAGTTTGTAACACACATCTGTGAATGAGCTTAGACAAGTCACTTCTCTGTGGGTCTCCATTTCCTTGGCTACAATACAACAGGGCTTAACTAATTATCTTTTAGCCTTACCAGGTCTAAAGTTATGATTTCTAACAAAAAGTGAGGCTCCAAATGCTATGGAAGTTCAGAGGGGACACACAGGTACACTGGTTTGGGGAAGCTCTGTGGAACTGAGACTTGCACTCAGATCCAAAGAATGGAAAGGACTTGAGACCGAAAGAAGGAAAAGAGCTGGGGAAATAGCAAGAGCAATCCAAAGGAGAAGTGAGTCAAGGACTTTTAAGAGCTAATGAGATTAATCAAGCTGGCCAGGTGTGGTGCCAGGGATGGAAAGGGAGGGAGAGGTCAGACCCCAGAGGGTCTGAATAACAGAGAAAGGAGTCTGGATTTTGTCCTGGAGGCAAGAGGAACAATCAGGGGGCAATAGGAACAACCAGAAGATTCTAAGTGGTTGTAAATTGTCGAGGGAATCCCATTTCCCTGTCTCCATGTTTTTATGAGGAAAAGCACATTTTATTCCCAAGGACTGAAAAATACTGGAAATATATTTTCCACCCTTCTTCAAACTTATCTCACTTCCTTGATTGGTGAAATACCTGAATAGCAAGACCAGAAGAAGGAACGGAGCACACATGGCCCAGCACCACCTCTGCTTCAGAGTGCCTGCAGTGCTAGCAGATAAACTCAAGTGAGTGAGTAACAGCAAGTCTGATGGTGGCCACAAGCTAATGTATGTTCTTCAGTCCAGTTCATCAATAATAGAGTTGATAAATGAATGTCTATTTCTATTGACTACTTCTCAACTGATTTAGAATTGAGAAGGGAGAAAAGGAGCTTTGATTTACCTCCATACCACCACTGTTGCCAACATAAATAAAGGAACAGCAGTGCTTCAGGAAGACTAGCCAGGTGGCAGCTGGCAAGATGGACTGAAGGAAGAAAAGGCCAGAAGCCCGTAAATCAGTTGTGGAGCTCCTACAGTAATCCAAGCATTAAGTGAATCATTTATAACCATCAAGTATTATCCAGGGTCTAACCAATATCTGCTCAAATCAAAATGTGTACTTGAGCCAATCTGCAAGAGTAAATCAAAGTGAACAAAAAAACTAAGACTTAATTACTAACATATACATATGCATATAGATGTATTTTTAAATCAATTTACATCCTTCATATCTAAAACTGCTTTTCCCTACCAGTAGGATCACTAATTAAAGGAACCAAAACAACTTTATAAGATACAAAAGAGAAGGAATCAAAAGCAAACCAGTTCAGAACCCTGGACTACACAGAATTCTACTACGTTACAGATCAGTATAATATAGCGCCAAAATAAAGAGAGAGAAAGCTCATGTAACTTGTCCACATTCTAAAGAGATGATCATTTCTGTCAGCCTCCTCTAATAGGGTGCCTCTTGGACTTCTAAACTTCAAAAGGTCTGCTGTCTTCTAAGTTAGCAGCCTTTGAAAACACTACCAAGCACTTCTCCAACTCACTTATATTTCATACAGCCTAATTAGATCAAATAAGTTGCATTAGTATTGCTACATTTATATAACAAAGGCTGTTACATTTTCACTCTTCGGAATCCTGATTTTGCCTATGCATTTGGCATGCAACACGATGTTAAATGCCTCCTTATTTCCCCAAAATGAAATTTCTGACAATGTTTGTTACTCATCACTTTGTTTCAGACCTCACACAATGTAAATATGAATTTCTTAAAAGTGAAGGAGTTGACAAAATTGTAAAAACATCAGAAACCAGTGCCTAAATGTGCTCAGACACCTAAGGCTTTCTAATGTCTTCTAGATACAAATCAAGACTCCTTATTAGGGCTATAAAAACCTCCTCTAATTACCCTAAATTCTCAAACACAATCTTTATTCCTTATTATTCTCTGTAATAATAATTTAAAAAGTCACCACACTAGCTCATGTCTGATCCTCCTTCTTCATAGATGCTAGTACCCCAAAGTACCACTTCAGCCCTTCCAAAGTAACCTGGAGATGAAAATTATTGGTAGGGGCTTAAAAGTTACTCTGCTACTCCATCCACACCCTAGAGATCAGAGTATGCTTACTAGGTTCACTAAGAAACAAATCCTGTAAGCTTTTAGTTAGGCAGAATCTTGATTTTTGTCCACTTCTCTCTCGTAAGGTATTTTATGGGCATTTTCTATAACCTACATTCTTGGGATCCCACCCAAGTTTCTTTGGTAGATGAAAGATGAAATGCCCTGTCAGACAGAAGGGAGTGAATATTATGAGACAAAATTTTAATTTGGATTAAGAAACTATCCATCTGGTCCCAACAAACTGTCCTTCTGAAAAAGAACCGAGCCATACAGTCAACTCCAGGTTGCAACACACACCACTTAAAATGCATTCTTAAAATTACCTCCTTCATGCCTGACCAACACAGGTGTGATGGCCTCATGACTTTATGTTTTGTTAGTATCCACATCAATCTCTATGTTTTTTATGAGTGTTCTTGGTCTAAAATAATAGATACATCAAAAGACATAATTAACCTGTTCTTATACTGAGATTTTAGACATGTAATTCCTTAAGATAGGAGTCATACATTCGGTGTTTCCTCAAAATTCTAAAGTTCTGCACAAGGAATTTAGAAACAAAATGAGAAATACTGTATTTCCCTGTTTAAGGAGTGCATTTGCTGTCTTGATAGGATCTATATAGCAAATCTGTACTTATGCAGTCTGACCTCTCTGTAAGTCATTATGGTCTCCTCTGCTCTCATTTACTCAGTATTTCCTAAGCACTTGAAAATGTGTCAGGCACTGTCCTAGACATTGAACTAGATAAACAGATCAGGAATGGCCCTGCACTCAGAGCTTGGAGCCAGGGGAAGCTAGTCAGTCCTCATCTATCTGGAACTCTGCATATATCCACAGCTCTATCAGACTTACTGCACCACTGATTCCCATGATTGTGCATCCTCTTCATAGCAGCCCCTCTGCCACTCTACACCATTGCTGTTCCAAAACTCACTGCCCTCTGTATCACATCTGGGATGTTACTTCCCTCACACCCTGTTCATGTTAACATTTCAATTCTTTTTAGTTCAAAAGGAATGGCAAGAAACTGCATGGCCAGTATTAATTCAGGTTATCTTTCTCTCATTAGAAGGTGAAAAAAGTGGTTCATTTTTGGCTGAAAGCTAATATAGACACAAAGAACACATAAACATGGGATATAGGGGGCAAATCTACACATCTGGCAGGATACCAGCCACCAACTAAAGAATGCTAAGTACTAAGTATACAGACCAAAAACAATGATTGAGGTCTGAAGGGGGTGGGGAATTCTTGGGAATATCCTAAAAACACAAAAATTGTTTTTGAAACACTATGACTTCAGAAATGCAGCGAGGAAACAGCACCCTCCAAGGACAGTCCCTTGCATTAGCACCAAGGGGTTATCCTGCTCCTCATCCTATATTAGGTGAGATGTGAAGCTTAGGCCCGCAGGAGTGCAGCAAGGTTATGCCAGGGGCTTGGGCTAATGCCAAAAGCAAATCATCCTGCAATGGCACAGGCAAGTGCTCAGAGAAGGGAGAAAGGAACATACCTGGCCTTCTTGGACTTCGTCCTGGCCGTAGAGTCAGCGCAGCTCCTCTTCTCTTTGGCCTCCTTGGTGCCCGAGGCCTCCCGGGGCTTCCGTGTCTTCTTTGCCCCATCTTTTTGCTTCGGCTCCTTGTGCTCCTTGGCCTTCTTCGGCTCCTTGGCCTTCCTGGGTTCCTTTGGCTCTTTCGGTTCTCGTTTCCTCTTTGGCTTGGGCTCTCTGTCCTTGCTTCCCTTTGCTGCACCCTCTTGGTCACCTGGCTCCTTTTTCTTCCTTTTCTTCTTTACTCCAGTACCTCCTCCTCCACTGTCCTCCATCCCGTTATGGGATGTCATTTTCCTAGGAAAAAGAGTAGCAGCTTCCTCTTCGGCAGTATACAGATCCTTCTGGGGCAGACAGTGACTAGGAACATCTTCAATTTTCTCTTCTTGATCAGTGCTGCAGTCAAATGGGGATGGAGATTTGTAGTCAAAATTGACGGAGGCATCAGACATTGGGGAGTGATTCAGAACTTTTAAATTTGACAACTGTAAAAGCAAGAGAAACAAGCATATTACCCTTCCAATGCATGCTTCATACAAAGAATGTTAGAACACATGGATTTGCTCAACAAATATTTACTGAGTTCTCACTCTCCATTAGTTCTTACAGTGCTCACCTTGGAGACAGAGTGGCAAACAGGACACACACGGCCTTTACACTTGTGGAGCTGTGCCAACGTGTTGTTAGCATACTAAATCACTATCATTCAAAGGTACACCTTTGATTTTAACTAAAAATTGTGCTGTTCTTTATAATCATCTAATCTAGCCACCAGACTGAGCACCAAACCACCTTGGGCCACTTGCAAAAACCAAACTACCTGTATAGGAGGAAGCTTTATTGTGACAGAATCCATTAGAAAGCATGTGTCACAGGTGCTGAAGGCATCTGTAAAATGGAAATTTCAAAGCTGTTTTTTGAGCACCAACAAATAAAAGTACAGTCTCCCAAGCTGACCACTTTTTTAAGAAAACATTCCTTTGGGTATAGAAGTTATATCTCATTATTTCAGGTATGGTGTTGAAAAAAATATTTACAATTTCATAACAAAGCTAAGGTTGGTGATAATCAGTAACAATGTGGGTGCTAAGTTTCAAGGAACAGCACCTTCTCCTTGGTCTGGGACAAAGAAATAAGGAGAGCCTGGGAGGGACAAGCAGGCTTTCTAGGAAGACAGTTATAATCACCTTTGCACGATAACTTAGAAACAGCACCATTTGTGAGGAAACTGCTCTCTGAACAAGAGGATTGGCATGTGCTAAAGGGCATAGACAATTGCCCAGGTGGCATGGTTTCCCTTCAGTATGCTGGTTACCCAATCTGTGCTTGGACTTCCAGGCCCACCCCGGCAGTTACAGAGACTGTAACATTCAGCTGCATATTTCCCCTTCTGTTTTTTTCCAGTTCCTTTCCCTACTCAAATGCTCCCAAACATAGCACTGAGAATCCCAGGAGAAAAAGATGAAAGAAGAAAAGGAAGATTTTTTGTGGGGGATCTTTATCATATCAATACAGTCCACCCTCATAAACAAGCCTAAATCTGGAGGGAATTGGTCATTCTGACAGGACTCATTACTTTCCAAAAAAAAAAAAAAAAAAAAAGACAAGAAAAAAAGGAAAACAATTCAGTTTGACTATCTCATTACTGATTGAGCACTTGAGATGGCTTTGGAGAAGGAGGAGCTAAGTGGACATAAAAGGAATTTAAAATCAAATATAAAAAAATTGTTAAGGTGGTAAATTTACTATCATATGCTTTTTACCACAATTTTAAAAACTGTTTTAATGGGCTACAAGGCAAGAATAAATACAGCAGTGAGGTGACAGGTACCCAGGTAAAGCTAGGTTCCTGTGAGGTGCAGAGCCATCCTTGGGAGATTCCTGAGTTCTGTGCCAAGGGCACCTGGCCCTCAGGGAACAAGTTTTTGTTTAGCATACAAGGGTATAAAGACTAGGCTTTCAAAGATAACATAAAAGCTCTGCTCCCACCGAGGCAGCTCTCTGGTGGTCAGAGTGAGACACTCTCTTAAGCTCGTATCTCATGTCCAAGTCTCTTTTCTGAAGAACAGGGGTCCCCAAAGAAGCTAGAAGCAGGAAGCAGTAAGGGGGCATTCAATCCTTAGGCAATAACCAGAGCAGCAGCTAACATTTATTTAAAACACATCATATGGGTATACTAGGGCTTGTGTAAGGCATGTTTCGTGACCTCTTTATAACAATCCTCCAGGGTCAGTATAAAGATAAGATGCCCATTGTGTATACAGAAAAATGGAAAATTAGTGATGTTAATTGATGTGCCCAAGGCTAGTAAGTACAGGAGCTTGGATTTGAACTCTCTGTCTGGCCAAAGCTAACACTCACTTCAATGAGCACTGTATGACCTGCCAGAGAACTACAATGATTGCTAGGCCACCAGACCAGCATGATGAAACTTGGTTAGAAATCTTAAATGCAGCCAGGGATCCCGGTTCACACCTGCAATACTAGCACTTTGGGAGGCTGAGGTGGGAGAACCGCTTGAGGCCAGCAGTTAGAGACCAGCCTGGGCAACAGAGCAAGACCCTAACTCTTCTACTAAAAAAAAAAATTTAAAACATTTGCCAGCAGTGGTGGTGCACACCTGTAGTACTAGCTACTTAGGAGGCTGAGGGAGGAGGATCGCTTGAACCCAGGAGTTTTAAGTTACAATGAGCTATGATTGTGCTGCTGCACTCCAGCCTGGCCAACAGAGCAAGATTCTATCTCTTGAAAATAAAAATAAAAATAAATGTTAATTGTGATGGCACATGCAATCACCTTGGGAAAGGTCATGTAGTTCTTGAAGAAAAAGCAGATATTAGTAATAAAATACATAAAATTACAATAGAAAAGTCTACCAGAAATGTATTTTTGAAGCACCTTGGGAGCTTTGAAAATATATTTGATGAATATTAAAAAATATAAGACAAAAATATTTCTTTCATGTGTCTCAAGGTCAGTGGAGGGAAAGGCAAAGAGCCTAAATAAAAGCTTTGTTTCAGCTTCTACCAAGTGCATTAAATCACCACTTTGAAATGGACCCAAAAACGAACAGCTTAGAGATGATGGGCCACAAGGTCCCAACAGTATTTTACAAATTATGACAACAATTTAAATAGAGACAAGAATCCAAGAAAATAAGAATGAAATGGAGAGGGTCCACCGGCAACACATGCAGCAACGCTAGCTCATCAACTGCACTGTTAGTAAGAAGGCTGTTTCTGTGATTCCAAATTATCAATCCACAATATTCCTGGAAAAGACACTTAAAAGACTTGAATCTAGAAATTTTAAATATCAAACAGATGCCAATAATAATAATCTTACTAAAAATTGGATATTAGGAAGATACTAAGCTTATTAAATGTATCACATAACCAAAACAACCTTAAGATAAAGGCATATTATGACTCCATTTTACAGAGTAGAAGCCTAGATAGGCTAAATAACTTACCTTGGTCACGCAGCTAGTAAGCGGTAAAGCTAAGATTTGAACCCAGATTTGACTCCTACTTCAAGGGCCATTGCTGTTAATCACTTCACACTGCCTCGTGTACTGGATACAACAAACTTAGAAATAAGAATCAGCAAGAACCTCTAACCAAGCTCTATTTTGTTTCTATCACCCATTCCCCAACACACGTGTATCTTCTCAACCTTTCCCCAGAGGACTTTCAACTCACTAACTTTTCCTCTTCTATCCATTTCTTCATAAATCCACTTGTTCTCCAGATCAGATGAGAAACACATCAAGAATAAATAATTTATTAAATCAATGGACATATATTAAATAAATGTAGTAGGACATATATTAAATAAAAGATGTCTAAGACTTTTCAACTTCACCCAGAAGGGTCCTAAGATCAGGGTCATTTTAAACGTGGACTTGGCAGCTACCGAAGATCTACAACCAACATCTGTAAGAACGTAATTTGTTGGCAGTAGACATCATTTTTCTTTTATCCTTACAAAATGAGAATGTTTTGTTCTCAGTATCTAAATATTACGTAGTTCCTGGACGGTTAGTTACAAACCATATCAAAATGAAAAAGAAGCTCCTATTGTATGTACTTTTGCTTTTTTCATAATACTTTAACACTTTGGGCTACTTTTTCCCAAGGATGAATCAAAGCTTATGCAGAGGGGCCGGGCACTATGGCTCATGCTTATGATCCTGGCGCTTTGAGAGGCTGAGATGGGTAGATTGCCTGAGCTCAGGAGTTTGAGACCAACCTGGGCAAAAGAGTGAAACCCCGTCTCTACTAAAATACAAAAAAATCAGCTGGGCGTGGTGGTGGTACCTATAATCCCAGCTACTCAGGAGGCTGAGGCATGACAACTGCTTGAACCCGGGAGGTGGCGGTTGCAGTGAGATGAGATTGTGCCACTATACACCAGCCTGGGCAACAAAGTGAAACTCTGTCTCAAAAAAAAAACAACAACTTAGGCAGAGGAAGACAATTCTTCACAGTCACATCAACACTTGTGTGTGAGCTAAAAAACGTCACGGTTCCAAATCCTTCATCACGACTTTGAAGCTGTGCCAAAAACTTAGTTACCAGAGTTTCCCAGATGCCTCTGGTCAAGACAGGAGATGAGGAAATTCTACTAATTGATTTTAGTAGTCTTTTTTATGATAGTGTTTTCTACATGTAAACTTACAAGACTTGCAGCTTCTTTATGCATAGGATTTTAAAATTTTATTTCCATTAAAAAAATTTATGTCTGTCTCATAAATGCTAGTGACATATTTGATAACATAGTAACATAAACTAAAAACTGCAGTTCAATTTAAATATTAAATGTTATTAGTATTGTTATAATTAATCCTACTTATAATTTTTAATATTAATATTTTAATACAAAAATTAAAATTAGTATTTAATAAAAAATTAAAATATTATTTTAATAAAATATTACATCATAATATGATTACTATATCATATGTACTAAAATCATGTTATATAATCATATAATCATATGATTACTACATCACAGTAATCATATGTTACTGTGTATGTATAGTAATATTCATAGTAATACATAATATGACTACATAGTAACATATGATTACTATGTAGTATTTTATTTAAAATTGTGTCAACTTATAATTTACTTTGGTCTTAAAAAGACCCTAAATAAATGTGCTGGCAAACTCTTATGATTCTAGTCAGGATGGGCCTCTGAGGTCGAGTTCAAACTTCCATTTCAACCTTTCTAACATACAAGCAAAGAATTAGGAGAGTGAGAAAATAATAACGAATAAGTTCTAGAGGCAAGAAGCTTACTGCTCACAAGGCATATGGCAGAGCCGCACAGCTCAGCTTCTCAGCATATCCTTCTTTATATGAAGCTAAAGCCTACCCTCCTCTAACTCTCCCCATGTGTCCCATTCTTTTCCACAGGTCCAACAATAGATACATTTAACCTCTTTTCCATGTGATGCCCTTAAGTCTTCATTTCTTCA